AGAAGTGCAGCTCCTGTGACGTACTGTCCTCACCAACAGCCCCACACCCCATTTAGCCTGCCCCTGAGAGAGGCAGGTGCTACAGGGAGAGTAGCTGGGTGGGAGTTTGGCTGGAAGCTAAAGGAGCCCTGAGCCAGAACATCTGCTCCTGTCTGGGAGCTATGTAGGATGAGGATGGGCAGCAAGGGTGAGCAGTGTCCAGGAGATGTAATAACATTAGAGGTGACCTGGGTGACTCCCGGGGCAGTGTAGTAGAAGCATGAAGTGGGCAAGTACCAGATGTACCCAAGGGAGGGTGGTGAGGAAGAGACACCAGGGAAGGGCCTTGAAGGGCTATGGGCACCAGAGAGCAAGCAAGGTGAGGGCTGTTGGGGGAGGTGTGGATGAAGTGTTGGGGAGCCCTGGGAGAGGAAGAGGTGAGCAGGTCCCTATGTGACCCGAGTAGCATCTTCTTTGTCTGTAAAATAGGGGTATAGTTGTCCTCTGGGGCCTGCCAGGAACATTTCTCTAGGTGCCAGTCCCAGCATTGCTGTGTAGAGGACAGGGTTCTGGGTGGTCGTGGGTGGTGGCAGAAGCAATTCCTTAGGGGCAGTATTCAATTCCTGGGGCTGACATCCTTCCTTTGGGGAGGGGTTGGTGGTGGGTGTGCAACACAGAGTTCCCCAGCTGGGCTTGCAGGTCAGGCAAGGGCTGCCTGCAATGGTGACAACAAGGGGGAAAGGGGTGGTGGGTGCAGGTATCAGGACATCCAGAAACTCTTGCTCTTAGGCTAGTCTGGGTGAGTGGGACCCAAAGGCAGTGGTGGGAAAGAGAGCCCTTGTTCTGACCCTGGATGATGCCTAGGAGAAACTGAGGCAGGTGGGCCTAGTTGGGGTAAGGGCCTCAGTCTCAGCTCACAGCTCTTTGGAGGTTGGGGCTCCTGCCCAAACGACAGCCATTTATTGGATGCCTATTGCCTACTGCGTGTCCTGGCCATGTCTGAGTCCAGATTACCTGGAGACTTGGGGAGGGGGGAGCCCCTGACCACCTTCTCAACTGGGGGATAAGTGGGCATAGAAAAGGAGGAGACAGGGAATAGAGGTGTCCAGGGGCTCAGTTCCCGGTCAGCTAGGTTTTGCCCTCCAACTGCTCAACTCCTGGGGACACCTGCTTCCTCCAATGGCCTGGGTAGTTGGTGGCCATCCTCTTGCCAGGGTCTTCCTGTCCCGGACCAGCCAGCTCCGAGGTCTCCAGTCCCCCTAGAAACCCCGCCCACCCAGGCACGAGCTGCTTGCTCCGATGGTGTGGAGGCCAGTTGGGTGTGGGCTGGACCTGCGGGTGCTGACCTTGGGAGCTCTAGGCTGATGGATACCACTGTGGGCAGCAGAAAAGGACTGCAACCTAGCATGCACCCCAGTCGCCCGCTTGGTGCACAGTTCAGGCTTCCCAGGTGACCACAGTATTATAGGGACCTTTTCGGGGGCATCTGCTCCATGCCACTACCCCAGACCCCACAGCTTAGAGGGACCAGGTCATTTTCCCGCCGCACCTCGGAAGTCCCTTTAGTCAGCGTCCTTGCTCCGCCCCCAGCCACGCCCACACTCACATCAGCATATTTAGCCACGCCCACGTGATCCGGCTCCGCCTCACATCCCAGGTGCGCCCGAACGCTTTCGGCCCCGCCTCAAAGCTCAGGCCCCGCCTCCATGTCCTAGGCTCCGCTCCCATGTTCGAGGCCCCACCCCCCTGCTCTTAGCCGTTCCCGGCGCTCCAGCTTCTCGCGCTCTCCGCCGGGCTCTCACAGCCTTGGCCCCGCACCGCCCTCTCGGCCCCGCCCCCACGCTCTCGGTGCCATCCCCACGTTCTTGGACTCCACAAGATGCCCGGCCCCGCCTCCACGTTCGAGGACCCACCCCCACGTTGCAGGCCCTACTTCCACGATCTACACCTTATCCCTGCGCTCCGGCTCCGTCTCTAGGCCCGGCTTCCACTCTCGGCCCCGCCCTCATGTTATCCGCCTCGCTCCCACATTCTCCGCCAACCCCAAGTCTCGATCCTGCCTCACGCTTTTGGCCCTGCCTCGCGCTCCAGGCCCTTCCCCTGCTCGAGGCCCCGCCCCACGTCCCGGCCCCGCCCTGCGCCCAGCCCCGCCCCC